CGGCCGCGGTGTGCGGCTGCCTCTCGGGGTGCAGCGGGGAGCTGTGGGGGTTCCTGGAGCCGCTGCTCCGGTCTGCCTCTGCGGGGAGCTCGGCCCTGCCGGTGTTCGGTGGTGTTCGGGGCCCCTCAGGCGCTTTCAGACCTTCTGCAGGGAGCGGGCACCCGCCACCGGCCGGTAAAACGCCTTGTTAGATGGTCGGTAAACAGCAGGTGAATAATAAAAAATAAGTTTCTTTCTTTTATTTTTTGCTCCTTGGCTCTCCCGTACTATCAGAAATAATAATCAGTAAGAACCAAGGTAAGCGAGTGTTACCTTTTTTTTTTCCCGCCGTTCTTTTACCCGTTATTTATACAGTTACGTGACAACGAGACCATCAGAAACGCATTTTGTGTGTCTCGCTTTTCTTCCCGTTTTAACTCTTGAAGTATTCTTCCATTTCTTTTTTATTATTATTGTTATTCTCGAAAGACCCGTCGCAGCCATAACGCAATTAAAACCTTTAGAACAAAACCTGCACGCTGGTGTTATCCCTGGGACGGAATTGCTCGGCATCCGACGGCGACACCAACTGCAGGAGCCGCCTGACTTCTCGTAGTCGCACCTTTCCTCTTTGAAGTGCGAAGACTAATAATTTTAAAAGCTCCGAGCAGGGTTTCCCAAAATGTGTCGCGAGCGCTACCGGCAGACTGCCGTCGGTGCCGTGACCTCCCTCGGTGCCTTTTTTTTTTAAAGAAATTCCACCCGAGCAGAAGCAGAAGGTGCGCTTTATCCCAGGCAATACTGACTGACACACAGATAAAAACGCTTGTCGCGAAGCCTCGGTCCCGACCTGCGTTTTTAGCCTTAAAACGGACTGAAGCGAGCCCCGGGACCTCCCGTAAGCCGGGCTCGGTGGAGGTGGTGGTGGGGGGGGGTAGCGCGGGGGCATTAAACCCACCCAGAGCCGGTGGCCGTGACCCGCTGCGCACCCACAAACCCCCTCAATCCCGGTTTCTGACCCCAAAACCCGCCCGGCCACCGCGCTCCTCCCCTTCCGCCGGAGCGGGGCCGGGCCGGGCCGGCTCCTCCTCCCCGCGGCGGAGGCGCAGCCGGGCGGCATTAGCTCATCGCGGCGGCGGTTCCTCACGACCCTTTCTTTCCCCCCCCCCTTCCCCCGTTCCCTTCT